TCTAAGTTCTCCCTTTTTTGGGAACAAATGTTTCACGATATTCGCCATTATTTTAGGACATGAAGGTACCGAGCCTCTTAACCTCTTAAATTTACGCATTACTATTTTGTAGCCATCGCCCCAGACATTTTGGTCTACATCATTGATCAGAGTTTGAAAAGCTTGATTCTTACTCCTAATAATTGCCTTTTTAAGTTTAGATCTGTTCTCTCGGTATTTTTGTAGAAGCCTTTCCGCATCTACTCCCGATCTGTGACGTTGGAATTGCCTACGGGAGGCAAAGCACTGAGATCTTAGTAAAGCTATTTCTTCCGTCCACCAATAGTTTGATGGGCGCCCATTACCTCTGCCTTTTCTTGGCATTGATGCATCACAGACGTTGCATAATTCCTTCTTAAGGTGATTTGATTTTTCAAAAGCATCCCCGACTCCGAAACTCATGTTTTCGGTCATGAATTCCATTATCTCTGTGTCAAGATACTTAGTTTTCCAGCCTATTTGCTGTGCTTTTCTCTGCGATTTTTTCAAAACAAACTTCTCTTTTAGCGATAAGGAAAAAAGAATTGCATGATGGTCGCTGTGGGTGTAGTGGTTTGTTACATTCCATTGCGAACCCCTTACTAATGACGGGCTGGCAAAGGTGAGATCTATGTAGGAAACGCCTCTACCATTATCGAACGTTGGGCTATGCCCATTGTTCAGTTGTATTAGGTTTAGTGAGGTAAACGTTTCTAATAGGGCTCTACCTCGGCGCGTTGTATTACTACTGCCCCATTCGACTGCCCAAGCATTGAAATCCCCTGCAACAATGATGGGAGTTTTGTTTCTGATTGTTCCTGATAGCCTATCAAGAAACTCTTCAAATCTCTCTTGGGAGATATTTGGGGATATGTAACAGCTGCACACATAGATACCCCGGATTCTGACAAGTACTAGACCTTCTTTTTGTATCAATACTCTTGGTTCAAACACTATGTCCTGTCCTAGCCAAATGGCAGCCTTTGCAGTAATATCTTGTACCCATTTGGAGGTTTCTTTTGATTTGTAAAACTCACTAATTATGAGTACATCTGTCTTTAATTCCAAAGCTGTTTGGGATAAAAGGTCTTGGGCAGCTTCGCATCGATTTAGGTTCAATTGCAGAAATTTAATCATTTTTTGGACTTAAGCTCCTGTATAGCCTTCCTGTAGAATTCACATTTGGAACTTCTTGAGTAGTGTAGATTGCCACCGTTGCAGTTTTCCGGACATAGGATGCATTTTGGTTGCGCCGAGCACGTTTTTGCCTTGTGACCATCTTGTCCACATCTCATACATGTGCCTGATCTGTCATTATCGCTTTTGCACTGTCTAGCAGCGTGTCCAAATTGAAGACATTTGAAACACCTCATGGGTGTGATATGCTTTCTGATCCTACTGCGTACCCAGCCAACTCTGACTGAGGCAGCTGCAATCAATATACTGGCATCCTTAGTAGGAAGGTCAATAATTGCTGATCTTGTGCTGTCCCTTGCGGCACGCCAAAACTTGACGTTGATGTCACTTACATTTATTGCTGGAAATTGATCAGCAATCGCCGCGCGCACCTCTTCGTTGGATGTTATCTCGTCCAAATCCCTGCATTCTATTAGGGTGTGCTGTGTTAAAGATTTTACACTAGCACAATTCTGAAGTGTGTTTTTCATTTCATTGCAGAAGTCCTTCGCTAAATTTCCAGCTTCTTTGGTAAGCTGAATCAATATTTCCCCCTCTTTAGTTTTTCGGATTTTGTTCACGTTTTTTCCGAATTCTTGTAGCTCTGGTTTTGTTTTAATGATCTTTAACATTTCAGCGTAAGACTTATCTGCCGTCTTACTAATGAGAATTGCTTCCGGTTTTACTCTAGGCGCTTTAATGAGGTCCAGATTTGGCACAGTTTTCCCTTTTTTCTTTTGCACTAGCTGCCATTTGTGAAAATTCGTTTCCTGCTCCTTACTTCCAATTTCTCTAATTTGGACTTTGGGTGGTGGACCGTTCGGTTTTTCTTTCGCAGCACGCTTTAGTGCTCCCTGAGTTTGCACGCTAATGGAAGCTACACTCTTAGCCACCAACGGCACTTGTGGCCCCCTTTCTTGTTCCGTCTTATACATCTTAACTATCTGTGCAAGCAGATCCCGCATATCCTTATTAATATGCCTTTGTGATTCCATCATCGCAGATAGTTGTACCAGCTTATCCTCTACACTATCATCAGGCTTGGGGGATAAAGGTATGTTTAATACCTCCTTCTCCATTGTTTTTTGTACTGCGTTTTGTTTCCGCAGAGGTGATGTCTGGTTTAAATATGTATGTACGCGTGCATGTTTGATTTATCAGAAAATTAATCGTTTGTTTATTTTAATGACGGTGGTTAATTTTAAATAAGTTTTCTGAATTTTCAACCCACTTATTTTACATATTTATCTGTCGGTCTTTTCATGACAACTGAACTGTGGTTAAATAAAATTCACACTAATTGCTTGTGAATTTCTAAATTTTTATCCTTTGAACTGTACAAATAGAGTTCAAAAATTTTAATTTATCTGTAAGTAACATAAAATGGTTAATAAAAGATGAAAACACTTAACGATATGCAAGTATCAGTATGCACATTGAGATACCTCGTAGAGATATCAGTCTTTTGATGGGTTTACTTACAGGTCTTTGCAGACTAGGGAACCATGCTGTAGATTGAAACTCCCTTTCAATAATACCTGTCGCAGCTGTGGGGAAGACGATAAAAGGGCCTCTTATCTACTATGTCTTTGCCTAGTTCATGCACGGCGGCGATTCAACACTTTTCTTGAGAATCTTGATCAATTATAAGACCTCCGACTAAACAGCATTCTAAACTTCACCAAAGGTTCTATGTGGTTTTAAAACCTGAGTTTCATCTATATACGGGGCCAATAGGCCTAAGTGGAATCTTAGGGATGGGCGGTATAACCCACCCTAACATAAAATGGCGATATAACAGAATATGTAGATTAAAACAGAATTAGCGTGGCATAACGACCATTGGCGTTCTCTTGTGGTAACAATTTGTTCTAGCCGAATAGATGTTGTTTAGTTGATTTTAAGAAGTACATAATATTAAATATGTCAAAGCGATATTCGCTCAATATTACACTCCAAGATCTGTTTTGCTTTGGTACAGGCATACAATGCAACTAGAGACCTCACTGCAAGCCTGGCAGAGATGGAATGTTTTTCAATTTGGGAAACCCATGTTATTGAGGCGGTCATGCTGGTAAGAATATGTCGACAAGTAGTTTGTCTGTAACCTTAGCCTTGCCATATTGAAGGAGAACCACTTAGTGTACTCAACTAATTGATTAGTTAAGTATGGCACTCTCTCAGCTCTGCCATACTGGGTTAAAAAGACTCTATGTTGTTAAAAAATTATTTAATGATATTATTTGATTTGTATTATTTAATACTACTATTTATAATATTTAATATATACTATATATTATGAGGCATAACAATAATAACAATATACATATGTATATGTCATATACAAAGTTTTAATACCTTGCCATTAAATAATTAACCTATTCTTTATTTACCATAAATATATTACAAATGTCTCTATTGATTTTTAGGCTATTCTGAACTATCATCTGAATTTATAATTCATACTTATGGTATTTATTATAGCGGGCTGTGTACTATATTTTCTAAAGCTTCAAAAATAAATATAATATGATATAATAATAATATTCGTGCTGTTCGAAACTTCAGTTATGTTAGTTCTCGGGAGTTGCTATTTAAGTAGTGTCAATCCAAAGATTCGAATTCAATATATTCCAACAGCTTGATTCTTTTCATAAATTATTCTTTTGAATATTGTATGTTTCATATTTATACTTTATTAATAAAAACTTCAAGTTATAGTTCTCCGCTTTCACCAATTATTTTTTTATTTAAATTTAAAATTAATGATTTACACATTGACGGCACATATTGCCTTGTAATCCTGTTTTTACAACGCAATATATTTTTACCTTACTTAAGCGACCAGGTGTCATAGACTTTATTTCCTTTTCTTAACGATCGTGGCACGTTCGTCTTATTTTCATCAGTCTTTGATTTTACTAAGTGTAAAAAAATAGAGGGGAAAAAATTGAAAAAAAAAATTACGATTTTTTTCATAAAGTTACGCACCTTGTTAAATTCTATTATCCTTTCTTTAATTATGGTTATTGATCATATGTTTCCTGTTTTTGTATAAAGACCAATTTCTTGTAATCCAGTTAGGATAGCAGCTGCCTTTGGAATAGAAAAATTTTGTACGGTATGTTACGTGTTAGCTAAAATATTACACTAGATTTAGGGTTATTGTTGTATAAATAATTATTAAATTTATTTCTTCATATCAACCACAAGAAGTGAGGGGACTTGGGAATGAAAACAAACAAGTTAAAGATAAGAAATTACGAGAATTTGATTTTGTTACTGTAATGGAATGTACTGAAGTTTATAATATTAATAATCCCGCTGATATTTATATTTAAGCGTTTCAATTGATAAATATATCAACCCATAACTTCCATTAAAACTGGAAAAGATCCTTGCATTGTATGTTTATACCTGTTCATGCGTCTACTACCTCAACTATCAAAATTGGTCGAAAAACTTATACCATATATAATAAAATAATTTATTTATTTAAAGCACTTGTTATATTGCCAATAATATGAGTTCTAAAAGTTGTAAACAATATAAAAAATTTAAAAGTATTAATTATGTTTTATGTTGTGTTTGCCTCGTTGTTACAAAGGCCTTTGGTAAAGTATGGCATGTAGTTTTACTTACAAATTGAAATCTTTACTTCGAAAAGAATTCAGCCTCATATTGAAATCATATATACAGTCCAGAGCTTCTAGGGTGGAAAAAATAAACGAGCATATTAAAATTTGTATTTCACACCAAGCCTTCGGTCTATTCTGCTGATTAGTTCCTTGGCTCAAATGGTGTCATGAGTCCAATAAGCACTTTTGCATCATAATATTGTCACATTCTTGTTTTGTTGCTTGTGTAGAGAAGAAACTCTATAAAGTAGGTTCTATACTTTTTATTGACGCAAAAGGGCTTAAAGACCTACTTTAAACCCATAAGGGGGCGCAGTAGACAAGACGCAGTGCCACATCGCTCAATAATAATAATAATAATGTGTAGAGAGGAGGATTAGATCTACCCCGTACAGTTGAGGAACCTTTCAAGTTCATTAATACTAAAAAGTACCAGCTCTCAGTGATTATTGATTATTGAGAACCAATTTACCTGGTCGCCTGCTTTCTAGCACCATGACTGCTGATGACTGTAACAATAAGAAACATTTTCGGCATTTTGTTATATCTTCTCCAAATTAAAGGTATACATCTTATAGCAAAAACTATATTAGCTACATTTACCTATGACACAGTAATCCTCGGAATACACAATACAGTAAAAAATATTATAACTGCAGTAGATAGAGTGGATCTAAAAAAATGCTACTCGAACTGAGTATTGTAGCAGCTATGACAGCAAAATCAAATATAATTATAACTGAATAATGGAGGAATGAGTTTCTGATATTAACAGAGCAAAATGTCACGACGACAAACTGTTCTGAAAAAAACATTAAAATAAAAAAATAAATTATCTAACACACATTCGGTATATATAACAAAATCCTACTATATAATTAGATATTCAAACTAGTCTGACTTTATAAAATAGAGTTATTTGAGCATTTTCAAAAATTTCGGGAGAGCATCCAATGACATATTACTCAGGAATATTTACATTTTTAGCGACGACTGCTCGGTATTTATGTCTCTTGCTGATGTTCTATCAACATCTAAGCTTGTATCGGCACATTGTTTTTATTGCTTTTTTTTATTGAGATGGTGCAGTTATTGATTGAACAGAAATGAATACTATATCGTGAAGACAATCGTAGTAAGTATAGAACCGATGAGCTGATTAAAAGTGACACACAACTTTTCAAACTATTAATTTCAAGAAGTTAAATTGGGTGTACTTACAGAGTAGTGACTCAAAGAGCCATGATAACTGCACATATGCTAATTTGTACATATGCCATGTTCTATGTACAATCAGAGGAGAATTAAACAATTTATTAGTTTTTCTAGATACTCACTGTCCAATACAAATGCTTTACTATGAGGATACTGTCTCAAAAATAGGTATACCTTATGGAATTCATTTCACTACTATTGTCGTCACTCAGCATCAATCGGCGATGAAAAAATGTTACTCATTTACTCTATGACACGGCCCGGGCCTAACCTGAAGACGTATATTCTCTTTATGGGCTGCGGTTGAGGTCATTAATATTAGCATCAAAGACATTGCCAGTTTCCTTAAAAGCCAGTAGTAGTGACATGTCCACTAACAAAGTCTCTTAACATCAACGAATCTACTTGCGTGGTCTAAGCCCAATGCGTATTTTTGAAACAGTAAACCGCTGATATATCGCTATATCACATTATTTACATCGACATAAAATATTTACGTGGCAAACACTAAATAAGTCATTAGAATAAAGAAAAAAGAAACAAAAATATATTGAAGACATTTCAGGTTTCAATAGATGGTAACAAGGTAAGCTACCCCATCGTTTTCCTTAAGTTTGAATAAATTTTACTTTATGGAATTATGGAATAAAAATTTTAAATTTAAAACTAATATTCCTATTAGTTATGTAACTAGTTTTAGTTTTTTTTAAGTCATTATATAATAAAATATTTTATAATTTCAATTATTTGAATTAAATTATATTACAATTTTATTAATTTAAATTTAATTAAATTTTCATGATTATTAATATTTTATTAATATTTTTTATCTATATTTAATATTTAATATCTATTTTAATTTTGGCAAGTTACTACAAATGTGCAAAGTGTGTTTTTTTGTGTTCTAAATAATTTGTACTTAATCGTGAACACCCCAATTATACCATATATCATGTGTTTAACACTTCTTATTAAATAATAATAAAGTCATCACTGCCATATATACGTAGTAAGTTGATAAAACTTTTTTATGCTGAGTGTTTGTATATATTGACCGCAAATTTTTTCCAACCTTCTTATATATACCATTGAAAATTGTTTCCTTCTTCTCTAAAACTCATTTATACATAATCATCTATGTATGAATATATATGAAAGTATATCAACATATATAGAAATTATCTAAGCTTTTTGGTGCTCACAATTCATAAAAATTAAACAAACCGAAAGTAAACAAAATTCTAAGAGCATTCATAGCACATCAATGGCTTACAGCAACTATCAAAAAGGAAGGGTCGTTCCATTCCGTCCGTCCAGAGAATTTAAGAAGCTTTGTCAGCGGTAATTACAGAAGTGGTTGTACTGCTGGTGGCTGTAGTGCTGTAATGTTGTATTTCATTTTTAGTGACTGCGATTGCATTGATTTTCTTTCATGTTTACGTCACACAAAAGAGCAACAAAATAAAAAAAAAAAAAAAAGAAAAGAGGAAGAAATAAACAAACGTGAAAGATACTTTATCGCTTCCAATCGTCAGTAATTCAGAAACTTTAATGTAAGTGACCGGAATACAGGCTTTCGGGTATGAAGTGTGAATTTAAATGGCAGTGCACCGAAATAAAAATATAAAAGAAAAATAAATAAATAAATAACACCACTTGAGGGCTACTTAGGGTAGTGAATTACGATGCTGTAAATATATATGTGACAATATTTTATTTTTTTCTATAAAAATTATAGAGAGACGTTTGCTGGCGGGAATGTGAGTTTCGAAAACTGGCTTAAATTAAATTAAAATTAAAAGAATATGAAAATCTTTCTGTAATATTTCAATCAGTGCTATCTTAAATTTTTATTGTGTAATCAAGAATATTCGATTATATAGGCAAAGGGTTAATAGATTCAATAGCACTTTGACTGCATTGGAAGCTATTCACCGAATTCGATTTAATGTGAAATTCTAATTGCTGCTATTGATGGTTGATAAAATTACTGACACCACACTTATGAAATTTGTGCCAGCATATTAGTAGCATTTTGAATTTAATTATTAAAAAGTAATTGATATTGCTTGAGATTGAAATTAATCTGAAAATATTAAAAGGTCGAAATATGGCACGAAATTGACAACGAAACACTTAAAATATTACTTGGGAATATAATTTAACTAATAGCATTAGGAACAAGGAATATTGGGAATAAGACATATAAATTATAAAATATATATATAAAATTTATAAGCACTATGGCATCCATTGACAGCCTAGATTTTCATATTTTCTAGTTAAGATATTTTGGTTTTTGAGTTCGTTATATATAATTGTAAAAGTTATGATATTTACTTAATGTAAATTTTTTTACAAATCTAACATTATCTTCCTCATTCAGTTTAATGAAAGTCATATAAAAAAATTGGTCTCATTTCTTAGTAATCCCAAGAGATGAGATGAGATAATATGCACTATAGTTTCACTCTGTATTTTTAAGATGCTGTAATTATACAAATGTTATCCAATTAAGAAGTTAATAACATATTGATTACTATATATTATTCATATAGTTATATATTGAGTTCAGATCTATTTTGATTATGAAATCTATCAAGCATTTAGTTGTCGTCTAGAACGTGTTGCTTAGTTTGCATTTGAAATTAGCTTAGAACTTTTTCAACAGTCTATTTTCGATATTTTTGAGTACTTAGTAGTACGTTTAAAAAGCAAGTTATTTGCTTTTATTCATTTCACAGAAATTTTAAGCAATTTGGATAGTAGATAGATATAGATTAAAAATGGATAAATGTTGATAAAAGTTTTCTTTCTAAAAATAACAGTTGGTAACTAGTATTTGGTTAATTACGAACAAAGAATAAATAAGTAATTAGTTTCAAAGAGTCATGATAAAATTTCCGAAACAATATCACCATATATGAGCTTCGATTTAAACCCTTCCTGAACAGAAAGGGTTTCTTGGGAAGCATATGGCTTAAAGCTAGTGTTCTTAGTGTGAACGGTTTTGAGGAGTATTTACTGTTAGGTCTAGTGTCAGAACATATGTCTGTATTTCTTCTAGAAAAGTGCACCTACACCTATAGGCAGATCATTCGTATATGTACATTTGTAATTTCGTTTTATTACTTTTCGATGCAAGAGAAGTTTCAAGTCTGTCAAATACGATGAATTTAAAATAAGTTCTAAATATTTCAAGCTGATTTTGATTAATGGCAATATAATCTAAAGAGTAATAAT